GTAGCGGATGATGATCTTTACTCTCAGGAAATTTAGGGAGGGTATAAGGAAAGACAAATTAATGTTGTCTGGAGGTGAAACTATGACTGGTGAGAATATGCCACTTCTTGATTATTTGTTGTGTGTTCCTGTTTAGTATGTGTGCACGCGTGTGTGTTCCAGTACATGAGTGTAGGTACGTGGTTGTGAATGCATATCAAGGTTGACATGGAGCGTCTCCGTTGGTACTCTTCACTTCATTCGGCAAGGCAGTTAGCAGTTAGCTGTCCTGCTGAGCTGGATGTCTCAGATTTGATTTGCTAGTATAGCTCAACAGCTTTCCCAGGATTCTCCTGTCTTTGCCTCCCAGGAGGATTACAGGGAGGCCAGCATGCCAGCCAGGCTTTCCAGCATTTTTATGGATTCTGGGATCAAAACCCCAGTCTTCAGGCTTGCAAAGGTTTTATCCACTGAGCCATCTCTCCAGCCCCATGCCACCAATTGTAAGAGAATGACAGCCTCTTCCTCTTTCAAGGTATGTTTGATTTATACTGTCCCCTACCATTCCTGGCAGTTTAAACAGATGGTAGACAAGCAAGGATGAGTGCTGAATAAAGGGTGGGATTTGTCTGTTGGCCCATGTGATGGCTGTTTGTGGTTGCTGCCTTTGCTACTTCTGGAAATAATTAAAACCCAAGCTGTTGGGTATACCTGTGAGGGATTTTCTTGACTGGCTCATTCCAGGTGGGAAGACCCATCCTAAATCTGGATAACTTGAGGTTGGAAGACACCCCTTTTTAAATCTGGGCCACACCTTCTGGTGGCAGACCATACAAAGGACACAGAAGAAGGATGTAGGTGGAAGATTCTGTTCTGCCTGGTCCCGCAGCCGATTAGCCCCAAATAAACACGCAAAGACTTATTTTAATCTATAAATTGTTTGGCCGACGGCTAGGGCTTCGTACTGGTTAGCTCTCTTTTAATTATTAGCCCATTTCTATTAATCTAAGTATTTCATCGTGGTCTTATATTACTGGAGAAGGGTCTGGACCTGTTACTCCTTCCTCTGCTACATGGTGTCTCTGCCTTCCTCTCCCCAGCCTTCTCCTGGTCTGGTGGCCCCACTCATCTTCCAGCCTGGCTATTGGCCAATCGTGTCTTATTCGCCAACCAATAAGAGAAACAGGTATACAGAAGGACATCTCCCATTAGAAGGAAGCACTTGTTCCCTGTCCACCTGCTCTCACTCTCACTGGCAAGATCATTTAGTCACTAGCATTAGAGTCTCCTTCTGGATTCCAGGCTATACACGTACATGTCAATCAGTGATTTGATTCACACCATTTAGAGCCAGTGTGGAATGTGGTGACTAAAGAAACACTATTTTATGATAAGCATCCATCTTGGTACCCACTAGCCGTTTATCTGTGACTCTAGGCCTGGAAGATAAGTTCCCAGTCACCTGACTCAGTGACCCACACCTAGAAATGTACAGCTGTGGCATCTATTTTTTGTGATATGACTAACTGCTTTTCTGGCTTCTGTAACTTGCTTATGCAGACATCAAAGTTATTATTTTGGGTCACCTTGACCACCTAACTCGGCAGAACAGAGGTTTTGCTTGCTTGTGTAGATATTGAAGGTCTTCTTGTGGTTTTGCCTTTTAAAAATCCCTTCCCTGTATTCCTCCTTCACAACATACCTGAGACTCAGCTTTAAGGCTGTCATCCTGCTAGCAGCTAATCAATAAATCCTGTAATTATAATCGAATTAGTCTATGGTCTTTTCCCAGGGTCAGGGCATGACACCACAACTCCAATCATTCCCGTTACTGTTTTCTTTTAGTTTAGGGAAGAATTCTATTTCCTCCATGAACCTGTCAGCCAAATTCTCTTTGAGAACATGGAGGGGGCCCCTGGGCAGTGGTGGTGGTGGCATACACTTTTAATCCCAGTACTCAGGAAATGGAGGCAAGTGGATCACTGTGAGTTCGAGGCCAGCCTGGTCTACAGAGCGAGTTTCAGCACAGCCAGTGCTACATAGAGAAACCCTGTCTCAAAAAACAAACAAACAAGCAAAAACCAACCAAACCAAAAAAAAAAAAACAAAACAAAGAACATGGAGGGAAAGAGATGCCTTCTCTTTTTCTACTTCGAAATGATCCGTAACAGTAGCAGCACAAAAAAAAGGGGTCAGTTCCTGCCTCCTCCTCAGAAGAAATATTTGGAAGCAGCAGCAGCAGCAGGTTTGCAGCAGCAAAGCAGTCCCCAGATCTTAGTTGTGCATTTTTCTCTTTCATCCCTAAACGTGAAAATGGCCCCTGGAGTCATTAATCCCAGGGCAAGTTCATACTTCCTTTCTGAGATACTGAGAAGGGGCAGCTCTGTTTCCTTAAAAGCCAACCACTAACACAGGCAAACGCAAACCTCAACTCAGGCAAAGGAAAATTTAGAACAGGGGGGAGAGGAAAGGTATTATGGGTCCTCAATGAGACCTTTTAACCGTGAGACAATGAATGGTGCTATTTAGTTCATTGAAATGATTATTGGCACCTGAATGATAGTGCTAGCATGTGAGGCAAGAAGAAAGATGGGGCAGTGCCAGCGAGGTCTCCTCAAACACTGTGATTACTTTTTATTAGGGAAATGCATTTTAATTGCCTATATACGCCATGAGTAAACACATAAGTTATTTTCCTGTCTTCAGAGTGCTAGACAAACGCGTAATGAAAATGCCAGCGACTGCTGTGCCTCCAGTCTCAATCAAAGCCTTAGCACTGCCAGCAGGGAATTACTATACACAGGCATATTGGCTTCATACCCATTCCCTGCTGCAATCTTACGTAAAATGGAAACCGTAAAAGGTCAGAGATAAATACTTACTCTAGGCTGAAGTTAGTGCAGCTCTTTTTAAAAGTCTTAAGTCAGAATCATAAAAGAGAAATATGACAAGAGTCTGTGTCTGATAACCTGGCAGTCCCACTGTAATTAGCTGTCCACTTTCAGAATGACACGCAATTATCATCAGTAGCGGGATAACCAAGACACGATTTATTGATTCCCTGCTTTGACATGCTATTTGGTACTGGTTCTACTTACATGACATTTGAGAATTTTGTTTCCCCATTCCTCTCCTGAGGACATAGTTCCTTGATGTTGCAGTAGGGGTGGTGGATATTTCCCTTCCACATTATACAGTGTCACAAAGTACATTAATTTGCTATAGAAACAACAATTTCTGGCTGTCACACCCTCTAAAACTAGTAGGCATTTATCTTTTAGCGAACAGTTTGGATCATGCTTACACCCTGTGTAACTTAGGTCCACAAAATGGTCCCTCCAGACAGGAATCCTCAGAACTGTTGTTTTCCTCTGGAGTTTAGCCCACGTTCTTCCTTTACAGCTAAGGTCCCACTGTGGCTCCATCAGCATCTTTCCATACCCACACCCCAACCGCTGCCTGCAGGCCAGATGCACAGAATGATCTCCAACCTTTCTGCACTGTTAGAAACTTTATTTCCCATTGATAACTTCAGCCCGGAGTCCACTAAATCCAGCAAGTCAAAATTTTTATGTCGACGGGGAATGGATAGCGGAGAACAAGTCTGAGGAATGGGTACTCTATGTTGGGACATGCTTATCCCCAAAGACCTTTTCACTTAGTTGTAAGTAACCCTTTGGAGTGTGGATCTGAAAGCACAACTCTTAATAATGTGTATTAAACGGTGCTATCAAAATCAACTACCACTTAGTCACAAAAATCCTAACCCTCACTGCTAACCCTAACAACTCCTAACCCCTAACTCATTCTGAGTGAGGAACAATTGCTGAGGAGATATTTATGCAGTGAGTCCTTGCTGCTTGGGGATTGATTAGAGAGGCTGGGGAGGCAGTTGGTGATGGGGGAGGAGAAACAGGGGGGGGTGGGGGAGGGGCTGCTCTGTAGAACCCACACTTGAGCTAGGTGTTCAAAGGGGGCTTCCAGGAGCATCAGGGAAAAAAAGTTACCCTGAAAGGCAAAGAACACTGTCAAATAAGAGACCATCCAGACTTTTGTGATCAGTTCTTTTCCCAGGACCCAAAATGACTTGATAAAAATGTTGCATACTCTACTGAGGATGTGGCAGGTCTTGGAGTTAGGAAAGCAACAACAACAAAATACTGTATTTTTTAAATAAGCAATTGGATTAGTATGGGAAACTCTCCTAAAAGTTTGATTTAATAAAAGAACTGACCGCAGGTAGCTAGGCAGGCAGTATAAGCCGGACAGCCAGACCCAGAGGATTATGGGAAGAAGGGAGTCTTGAGCAATCACAGAGAGAAGCAAGATGAATGTGCCATGTTGAAAGAAGGTAGCCCCCACATGGCAGAGGGTAGATAAGAAATTGGGGTTAATTTAAAATGTGAGAGTTAGCTAGTAACAAGCCTGAGCTATTGACCAAACATTCATAATCAATGTTAAGTCTCTGTGTGGTTATTTGGGAGTGGCTGGCAGAACAGAAAAGTCCACCTACATCACCCCGATAACACATTTCTTTAAGTCATTCTGAAAGACCCCGAATTTATAGAAATAAAATATAAGCTTAAACAGGGAGGGCACCCCACTAGAGAACTTGGGAAGTAAACAAAGGACCCCATCCCAGGAACTGGCCAAACCACAGAATGGAATGTATGATTTAGCAACCTTAATTGCAGAAGGGCTGTAAACCCACAAAGGGCCAATTCCGGGCTGCTGACCACCTGTGAAGAACTGACCAGGGCGTCAGAGATGGGCAAACAAGATTTGTGGGAAACAAGGAGATGATAACACCATTTACTTAGGGAGAGATGATTAACTCATACCAAGGTTTGAGGAATTTACAACGTGTAGGTCAGGAAGACATCTACTTCCCCTGGTCAGTAGTCACGTACTCCCTTCCCCCCGTCACAAGATAGGGACCCCTCCCAAAAGCTTGTGGTTTTTGTCTTTAAAAGCTGATTGTAACTGAACCTCGGGGCCAATCGGTCTAAAAGCTGACCGAGAAGCCCATCTGCAGATGCCTAATTAAAGCCTCTTGTGTGTTGCATCAATTGGCATGTGGACTCTTGATTCTTGGGGTGATGAATCCAGCTTGGGGACCCCTCCTCAATTCGGGGTACCCCAACAATTCTGCTTGGCGGATGGAAAGGAAGGAACAGAGCTGCCTGGCTGCTTATCTGCACTACACAAATTTGCCATCAGTAGCTCCCTTAGTCTTATTCATGGAGTGTGTATCCTTTCATGGGAACATTATTCAGCCTTCAGCGACATTTGCCTTTGTTTTCTTTATCTTCTGGTGAGTTCACTGTTTTTTGGATTGTTCATACTCACTGCAGCAGAGTCCAGAGGGGCATCTCTTTTCCATTGGCTTTTCCATTGGTTTGCTCCCATAAGAATGGCCTGGGACTTCCCAAGAGGAGCCCAACGTGATCTCGGTAGGTCTTAAGTCCTGTGATGCTGCTTCAAGCTCCGGGGGCCAACATTCCTCACAAGAGTAACTGGGAACATTGCAAGCAGCTTCACTTCTCTTGCTCCCTATGTTTCTGTCCAGGCCCAGAAAGGTAACCTCAGACTGACTGCACTCAAAGGGGGTTTTCTGAGGTACTCTATCTGCCCTCAACACTTTTTTGTGAGGTACTGCATGATTATTCTGGTTTTCATCATCTTCTACTGGGATACTTGGGATGTTGTCCAAGAACAGAGGAGAAGGACACCTGAAGGACTTCAGAGATGTGGGAGGGTCTTCCGCAAAATACAAGCTAGGCTGCGTGCTCTCCAGGGCGTTCAGGACCTGAGTAGCAAGGGAAAGAAAACATGGAGGGAAGCTTGAGTGACACTCCCTTTTACTTAGTAAAGAGTATTCTCTCATTTTCATAATTAGGAAATTAGATAAGAAAAATAAAAGGCAAAGCAAGTACAAGCACAGAATCTTGAATCTGAAAGGACTTTAGAAGTGGAGAAGCCCTTTTATTTCAAGGGCTACATGAAACATGAAGTGAGTTGAAGGACGTGTGGAAGAAACAGCAGATTGAAGAGAGCTGACCTCAGAAAGGAACTTACCACCTCACTCTTGCTGTCAGACTCTTCCTGCATTTTCAACCACAGAGAGTAAGGATTCTCATGGTGTACGTCAAGGGCAACACTACCTCTAGTTCTCAAATACCAGGATCAAAGAGGAGAGCTTTCTAAAAATACATGTCTCTTGTCCCCAGCCAAGGGGAGATCATTAAAAATTGGGGGACAGGGATGGGGACCCAAGGTATTTAAACAGCTTCATACAAGATTTGGACACGCAGCTGGATTTGCAAACCAACAACCTGATATATTCATTCTTGTTCTCCCTCTCTACAAATACAGATATCTTGAGCATTTACAATGTGTTTGTTTTTTATGTGTTTCATCTCCACAAATGGCATTATTCTGGTCTTACATGCAAAGTTGAAGATCAAGAAGAAATCCACCCAACTATCTAGAAAGGAGAAGCTTTGATGCTATACCCTCATCCTGATCTTAACTTTGTCCTACAACACCACTGATAGATCTCGATGGGACAGGATTCTACACTGAGTCATGTCAGGCCTCCTCTGTTTCCCTAGATGCCAGGCCAGGTTCTTTCCTTGCTCAGATCCACCACAGCTCTACAGCAGACTGGGGATAACACCCAACTCCAAGAATAGAATGAATGCCCCTCTATCACCTAGAAGCTTCCACACCAACTCTCCTCTACCTCATTTCACCTCCGTGACGCTCTTCCCGAAGTCTTATGGCTAAGGGTAATGACCTCTGAGTTAAGAGTACTGATTGCCTCTTTTGAGGATGTCCTCCCATCCATGCTGCTGCCTACACCCAACCCGCAGCTAACTGTTGCCTTCAGCAAGGATCTCCTGGTTGCCATAGACTGGAAACCTCACTCTGTTCTGATTCTATCCTTCCAGTCATTCTAGGATTCTGCTTGTCATCACACCTGCCTATGGGGTCAAAGAATCATGTCCATTGATCTGACTTCTTTGCACAGCAAGCTTGGGACAGTCACCATGTCTTGTCTGCTATGTATCCCCAAAATACACATCCAAAATGGGCATTAATACTGGCTTACAAATGAATGGGTTACATTTATGACAAATGAATACATTTTTTAAAACACTGAAAATAAATGTATGTTTTCTAATGGGCCAAAAAGCTTAATGGGTGTTGAATAAAATACCACCTCCAAACTACTTTTCATTAGATTTATTTTTAAATTGATTATTAATGATAGTGGTGGGGGTGTGCTGAAGAGAGAATGTGAGGTCAAGAAACAACTTGTTCTTTCCATGAACTCCAGGGATCAAACTCAGGTCACCAGGCTTGTATGGCTAATATGTTTTTTATCTGCTGAGCTACCTTGCTGGATCCATATTCAGTATTTTTTATAACAATCTGATTCTATGTAGTAATGACTTCTCCATAGATAGCAATAGTGTGAGGTATTCCTTTAAGCTACAAAGTTTACCTATTAGGATAGAATTCTCTGTGAGGAGCTGAATTGTCTCACAAATTAAGAATTCACTTAGAAGTACAATTTATCCAACTTGGATTTTTCATGGCTCATGTTTGAATAAAACCTTGTTTATCTTACCTCATCCATTGTAGGTCTTAACTTGGCCCGAGTTGCCGCACACTGGCCCGCCAGAGAGAAGAGCTTGGCAGAGAAGTTTCTAGGACAGGGGTGTATTTTCCTGTCTAGAAATGAGAGACACGAATTGAGGTCTCTCTTCTCCATCAGTTCCATGAGGAGATCCCGCTAGAACGAGAAGATACACTTATTTCTTGGAACACCATCAGACAGCTAATTGCCAAACAGGTACCGGCGTTAGAGCAATTCTTACCAGCTGAACATGTTTGGGGTCATCCAGCACCACTTTACAGCCTGTCAAAACTTCCATGATCACCTATAAGGAACACACACAAAGTCAGCCACAGAGGCTGAGAAATTATACAGTATTAGTTTAAACTGTTTGACACGGCAATGGGTTTCATTCTAATTAATGTGCTTGTATTTTATTACTTCACAGATTAAGGGAAACTCATGTATTGGATAGTGAGTAACAGAAAGTCAATAGGTATAAAAGTTGAAACTCTTAAAATGTTTCCTCCAAATTGGTGGTTCTCAACCTTCCTAATGAACAACCGTTAATACAGTTCCTGATTTCGACACCCCCTCTCCCCACAGCCATAAAATTATTTCGTTGCTGCTTCATGACTGTTAACTTTGCTACTGTTATGAATCATAATGTAAATATCTGACATGCAGGATATCTGATATGTAATCCCATGAAAGGGTGGTTTGACTCCAGCGGGGTCGAGACCCACAGGTTGAGAACCACTGCTCTGAAGATTTAGCATTTAGGTCTCTGAGGATTTAGCATTTAGGTCCATCTTGGCAGTGGGTTCTGTTCCTTAGCTAACTAGTAGGTGACACTCACAATTCCAAAGCTGTAGACATCCGTTTTAATGGAAAGTCTTCCCTGCCTGATGTATTCTTCTGGCAAGTACCACAGATGTTTCCTCCCACTCCCGGTCATATTTATGGTAGCACTCTGATGTTCTAGGTGGGGTCGGAAGTGCGCCATGGCAAAATCAGTTAGTCTGGGCTGAAACTCATCGTCCAGAAGTATGTTTGCACTAAAAGTGTGAACAAAAACAGGACAAGATATCACAGAGGCATTTAGTAAAATAAAACATGGTCAGTTAATTCAGAACACTGATAAGATAAAGGCAAACGTAAACATTCATGAATGAGTGAGCATTCTAAAGTTTTTCTTAAAGTATAAACATGAGCTACAGAGATGGCTCAGCAGTTAAGGGCACTGGCTTCTCTTCCAGATGACCGGGGTTCAATTCCCAAACCCACATAGCGGCTCACAACTCCAGCTGTCTGTGACTCTAGTCCTAGGGGACCAGACACCTTCATACAGACATACATGCAAACAAAACACCAATGCACATAAAATAAAATAAGAACTGGAGTATAAACATAAATTTGTATGGAGCCTTAAATGAAAATCTGACCCATGAGCAGTGGCTATTTCAGATTTCCAGACATGCATGGGCGCTGTGTCAACCAGACAAACCAAAGTTAAGCACAGCAGCCTGCTTGTGCTTTCTGAATGAGACCATGAGCTTGGTATTAAGCAGCTAATAATGTAACTGTTACATGCAGAGAGATATGTTGTGGAATGCTGGGCATAAAGAGACGTTACTCAAGAATGTCTTGAGGAACCTTTGGTGGCCCCTACTTTAATAGTAGTCCCTCCTCACAGTCCCATCTCTCTAGGTTTCGTTCTGATTTTGAGACTCATTTGCAGAATCAAAGGCAGAGTGCATAGAGTCGATTTGGGGAGCTGTCACATTAAAAACAATCATTTCATATTTTGCAAAGGTAAAAGTGTTGGTTTATCTTATGCTTTAAAAGCCTGCCATGGGAACAACAGGAAAAGAGAAGCTAAAAGGGACAGGCATTTCACACTTCAGGGTCCCTTTCCCTGATTCCAAGACCCTCAGTCATGTCCTCTTGCATTTAAGGCAATGAAAAAGAGCAACATAACTGGTAAGACTGTAACACTGTTCTGGGAATAGGAAACCCATTGGCTGCCTGGCATGTCAAGACACATGGTAGCAAGGATGGAGGCTGGTAGCCAGTCAAAAGAAGGCAGGCAGCCAGCGGATGCTGCTGGAGAGGGACGCTAATAGAGTAGTTGCAGCCGGTGAGCAAGTGACCTTTCCCTTCAGTTCTGCGTAGGGCTCTTGAGAGCTTGTTCGTGTTCTGAAGCTGAAACGTTTTCTACTTAGCTTGTTCACCCAAATTTCAAGGGATAGAGGTTGCAGTACTGTGTACCGCTTACCAAATGTGGTAGTGGCCACTGGGTAAGATGCTCTTAAGCCTGAACAAACACTGAATCTTACAAATATCCCAAAATCTATGCTGTCCCTGAACTAATACACAAACAGGTGGGGCTAGTTCTGAACTGAGAGCCTCCAGAGAAAGACATGGCTCAGAGGCCATGTTGAAATTCAGTCCTATGTCAAGTATTTGAGCACTCTGGTTCCATGTTCATAACTAAGGTCTCAGTCCAGACTTTGTCTAGGGTCAAGTTGACAACAGATAAAACAAAGGGATGCCCCTGGTTCCTTTAAGGATAAAAACATGTTTTAAACTTCGACTTTTCCCTCCACAGAATGGAAAAAAAACTGGAAAGTGCAAAGAGCCAACCTTATGCCCTGTCTCTTTGCTGTGGTCTTTTCATTTATGGGGGAATAAGCCAGGGGCTGTGACCCCAAGATTTGTGTCAATGAGCATAGTCCTTAACTTTCTCCCTGTCTGTCTTTTCTCAAGTAGCCAGCAGCTGCCAGAGCCAGCCTGTGTTTCACGTGACCCGACTCTATGCCATTCCTCACCCATTCTTTCATTTTCTCACTCAGAGAACATGGTAGAACCTCCTGCCATTTCTCTGAAGATGCACAACAAACGAGAGTTAGGCCCTACCTTTTCTCCAGCACTGGGTAGGAAAACAAAACACGATTAAATCCCTCACAGGTGCACACTTCACTTGCTCAAATCTGAGGCTTCTGGACCTGCCCTGATGCTTCTAGAATTTGGAGGAATATGAATGCAGGAGTTTGCCAGCTGGGCAGGAGATGAAAGGGAGGGTAAAACAGCCTCCAACAGCACCCATGTGAGGCAGGAAAGATCAGAGAGTGAAGTCTGGAAGACCTTGGGTAAAGGCTGCAAAATTCAAATATGAAAGAAACAAACCAGAAGAGGGAAAGTGCAAATCCTCTACCCTCTGCCAAGTAAATCCCTGACACAGACCCATACACAGAGGCACTCCAGTGTGCCTGAAGGTGACCCATGGCTTATTATAACACTAAAGCACCCACTCCTGGATAGAGACTTAAGATGGTGAAGGTACATGTGATGCATGAAATTGTATGTTGAATTACATGTAGCATAGCATTCCCAAGAAAGCCCACGGTATGCAAATAATCTAGAAAACCCAAAAACCCCTACGCTGCATGACAGTCATTGGAGACACTGACCTTTCCCCTGCCCCAGCCTGTTTCCTCTCTTGGAAATATGTCTTCTTTGCATACACTGTCTACATTGCTATCCACGAATCTTTGTCTAGTTCCTTGTTCCCAGACATAAGGCGGTGGAACCCCTCCAGAAGTTCCCAGCAAACCTTAATACCCGCTGTCATCATGAGTTCCTGCCCTTCCGGTTCCTGCTACTCTGGGAGCTGCTTCTGTGTGCCCTCGCCTAGAGGAAGAAAAATTCTGAATACCACATTTTCAATGTCTCCATCCACCCCAGTTCTCCAGAAGGCATGATATCCTGGTTAATATGTTAGGGCCTTAAGTATGCCAAAGCTGAAGATGAGTCTAAACAGCACATGGGAACCCGTGTGTGTGTGTGTGTGTGTGTGTGTGTGTGTGTGTGTGTGTGTGTGTGTGTATATAAGTATATCTATAAATACATAAAGTGGTAGTGGACTGGGGAGGGGTTCAGCAAGAATAATAAAGAAATCCATAATCAATGGGTGTTGGTGGCACACGCCTTTAATCCCAGCACTCAGGAGACAGAAGCAGGTGGATCTCTGTGAGTTCAAGGTCAGTCTGGTCTACAGAGTGAGTTCCAGAACAGGCTCCGAAGCTACATACAGAAACCCTGTTACAAAAAAAAAAGAAAGAAAAAGAAAAAGAAACCTATAATCTAAACCATTTACTTGACCTGCTGCAAGACAAGTAGAAGCCAACAGCGAATGGTTGTTGGGGGAATATGAGTGCCGGAGTTTGCCAGCTGCCTACCTGTCTGCAAGAGGTAGGCAGAGACGAGCTGGGTGACCACAAACCCTGTTACCCAAGAAGCCTCCTGGGGACATGGGGTCATTGAGAGGTCACCAGTCAGACAGGATTATTTGAGGATGCTGCACTTACACATTGAATAATGACATCTGGTGAAAGGCAAGTTCTTACCAGCAGACCTTAGTGTAAAGCATAAATTCTGAACCCAGTGATTTATTTGGTTCTAAATAAAGGTTAACGGGAGCTGAGAGAGAGAAATGTTCGGTTTTAGGAAAGTGGGGATTGCAAAAAGCCCTTTGACAATCAATTACTCCTCCAATTCTTTCTCCTGCTTCAGCTTTAAATGGACTCTTCAAACATAAAGTACCTTCAGCTACCATGCAGGTCAACAGAGTAAGTTGATTCTGCAGAGTAAAATGGACTGACAAAATGAATACTATACGAGAGAGCTAAAATTGTAGCGATACAATGGAAAAGGGCATCTGGCTGATAATTATGGCCGCTAAGGAGGCAGACAGTGATGTAGGTTTGGTCCTCATGCCCTAGCTCATGTTTCTACTACCTTTTCCCTACTCTTTGTTGGAATTTGCTATAACAGAGAGGCCAGCGTGACTTTAAATAGTTCTCTAAAGAAATTGTCCCACATCCCCTGACTGAGAACATGGGGCAATTCTGTACAGGTAGCGAATTTGTACTAACTTGGGAGTAATGACTTACTATCCGTACCATGAAGCTTTTATTGAGGGACCAGATTCCCCAAGCAATACTCCTTTATAGTGAGAACAGCTTTCTGGGATCATCAGTAAGTTTTCTAGTTTAGTTAAAATGGATAGGCCTTAAAAACGAAGATGATGTATAGAGATTAAAACAGAAGATGATTTATGGAGATTAAAAGGAAATTATGAATAGAGATTAAAAGGAAGATGATGTATAGACATTAAAACAGATGATGATGTACTGAGATTAAAATGAAGATCATGTATAGAGATTAAGATGGGATTGAAGTATGAGGGTCATGTGTGATACACAGGATGAGAACTGATCTTTAAGGACATGACATATATTTAAAGGGACTTGTTTTAGCCTCAGCTGAGTGCCTGACCACCCTCAGGAAAGGTGGGATTCCACTTAGTTGATCTCAGACATAAAAAAGATCCAACAGCTTCTCAAAGACATCCTAAGGCCAAAGAGTTAGTTAACTAAGAAATTACCCACATTCTGGAAACTGGTTCTTCCTTGTCTTCAACAAATCAATGCCTACAACCCATAAATGTCTTCGCCGTTGTGTATTATCCCTATGTGCGTGCTCATACCCCCATAAAGCTCTCTACCACGGCTGAGTCGCTCTCATTTCTCCATCCCCATTCAGAGGCAGCCATCTTGTACACACACATACCTCTCCAATAAATATGTTGTATGATGTCTGTTACATGGTGTGATTTTTATGACATCCCTTGACTCTATTGCAATGATACTCTTTCACTACAAAGAACATTTACTGTCCATGGCATGGCAGTCATAACTCTAAGACCCTCTCCCCAGATAACCTACCTTCCCTCAGATGTAGCAAAATCCAGTTTTTCCAAACTCACTGGTTTCTGGGAGAGCTGTAGATTCTCACACAACTTTGAACACAAGAGTATGTATGTTGCTTCTAGGTTCTGGCTATTACAAATAATGCAGCTATGAATATAGTGGAACAGACATCCTTTTGTATATGTATACATATGTATATGCATCTTTTGGGTATATGCCTAAGAGTGGAATTGCTGGATCTTGTGGTAGACTGATTCCTATTTTCCTGAGGAATCTCCATACTG